ATTTGTGTGACGTTTGTATAAATGCAAGTAATTTTTTTTCATGCAGGTAATTTTTTTCCTGCATTTAAAAATGCAAATAAACACTTAAACAAATGCAGGGAATTGTTCTTTTTCTTGAAGTGATTGTGTTTACACCTAAAAATAAATCAATAGGGTAAAACCACGTGTCAAGTTGAAGCCCAATTATTAAGAAAAGTCAATAAGTTAGATTTGGGCTGGGTTGGATTACAGTTTAAGGGCTCATACGAAATTTTAAAGAAGCTGGATTTCAGGTGGCAGAAGATAAAATAATTTCTGGTGTTTGAGGTTGTTTTAAAGTAGGAAGTTGAGGTTTTTTAGGAGAAGGATTATTAGGGGTTTATTGAAGATAAGGTTGAATAAAAAATTATCAATTGCCAGAGATTTGCCAGACATGGAACCTCGACTACTCGATCATGGTAGGGAGGGCCAAGAAACATGGAGGAGGTTTCCCAGCATCGAAGAAAAGAAAAACAGGAAGAAAAAATCAATTCCAAACGGCTCACCCCTACATACTGCCCAGAGCTTATATTTTTTAACTTTTAGATTGCTTTTTTCAAATTTCAACAATAATTTTCAGATTAGTTTGCAAGATCTGTACTTTTTTATAGCCTTAGTTTAGGTTTTCCATCTTTGTTCATATATTTTCTCAAAGATTTCAATTTTGGTTAGTTTTTAAGCATTTGGAAGCAATTCAACCTATAAAACAAGTCTGTCTTGTTGATTTGATTAGTTTTTCTTTCTTTTATAAATTCATCTATGTTATTTGTTCATATAAATAGGTTGAATACTTTTTGCCTTTATTCTTTTGTTTCCGCATGACAGTCAAACATATAGTTTACTTAATTTCAATTTTTAGATTTAATTTTATAAGTTTCCAAATTTTAATTATTTCGTAGATTCTCTTTCAGTTTTAGTAATCAAGTAGTTTAGTTATTTTTATTTTAAATCTACAAGTAATTAGTTTAATTGTTATGGACTGCGTGATGAAAATCGTTGTTTGTGATTTTACATTTTTTTGTTATCTACGAGTTTTACTTTTGTGGCATGTTGTTCTTTTGTTGATTTCATGTTAAATTAATTACCTTAGAATTTGGTGTTAATTTTATGATTTGTAACTTTTATTACACTTTTGTGGTTGTAAAATCGTTGGAGGTTTCCAAGGCAATTAATAACTCATTTTGCAAAACTCCACAATTTGTTTTGCAATATCGTCTGGGGCACAACGTTTTTTCCAGCTATCCTATTGGAGGTCAACCTTTGGAAAGAAAAAGGGTTGTCTGGAAAACTCTATTTTTTTGTTTTTAAACAAAGCAAGTGATACGCCTAACATCTAAACTTACGTGGTCAAGGTCGAGTAAAGATTTTTTAGGAAACACATATTTAATTATACTAAATTTTTTATAACAAGCAAATTACTTAGACCTATTATATTAATTTAAAAGTTTATATATATTATTTATATAAATAGATTTTTCAATCTAATATTTATTTTTTTTAAAAATATTATCCTTTTATAATATTAAAAATATTAATTAAAATATAAAATCTTTAGATATATCTTCCTAAAGACGTCCTGCAAAACGGATGAGTTTAGCCCTACGGGATACTTGGAGTCTGTTTAGGCTAACAAAGTTTGGATTGGATTAAAGAAAGTCAGTCCAAATGTCCAATGGGCCTATAAACGGACTGGACTCTGTTGCATTTGGGGCTTCGAAAGTTCGAATCAGTGGAAATTGGGCTGAAAACTCGACTACCCACGCACCTAAAAGTAAAACCTGCGGTGAAGCTCTTAGTTGAGCTTATTAAAGTTGAGTTTGACCCATAACTCTCTTATAGCGTCTCAACTAGTTAAAATTTTATAATTTTAAATTAAAAATTTTAAATTTAAATATTGAGATAAGTGTAAAGAGATTAAAAGAAAGAGATAGTTATTAACTCATCACCTAATGTAAAAGAAAAAAAAAAAAATGCTTGACCCATAACTCGACCACATTTGATTTCTAACTCAAATTTAGTTTTCATTTGGACTCAGAGTGCTCTTGTTGTATCTTCCAAAATCCAAATGAATAAAATGCTGAAAATTTTCCCAAGGCCGTATGCATGAATGGAAATGAAATTTTTGAATTGTTTCTTAATTAAAGAGTATTTGAGAGATGAATGATTTTATCGACTAACATCATTGCCTTTCTTAAATGAAATGCAATGGTGAGTCTACATTTATCATGCTGATATTGTATTGTTCTATGCAAAAGTTCTTTTTGAAATGAATCAAGCCTGTTAGACCAATTAATTTATTCATCCATGAACTTAACAATTTGGAGCAAGAGGCCAGGAGTTCTACTCCCCACCAATCACTTATAAAAGAATTACTTCGTTTTTCCGAATTTCCCATATTTTAGAAAAGAAAAAATGTTTCTTATAGTGCTCATGTAGTTGTGCTTGTTCATATGCAAATTAAATAACAGGACATGGTAATATGGTATGTGCTGCTTCAGCCACAGTTGCATTGGCACCCACATGTCCTTATTTTCTGTGTGTGCTCATGTAATATTTCAAAATTTTTGAAATTATATATATATAAACCTACTTCTTTATGACTTCTTTGAAATTAATATATGTTTGTAGATAAAACAAATCCCATAATTATAGACAAGTGGATGAGTTGGCAGAGAATTCTTCCAACTTAACTAAAGGTTTTTGTTTCAAATTCTGAGAATACAGTTCCATTAAAACTCGTGAATGAGAATTTTGCCACCCGTTGGATCTTACCCGACTCAAATCCGAATTTAATCGGTGGCCCAGTAAGCTTCCGAATACCGAGTGATTCATCCAAAAAAAATAAATAAATAAATAAATAAAACAAATCTCATTGAATTCTTGAACGGTCCATTCAAGGTTCTTTTATTTATATATTTATTTATCCCCGGCCAGATGAAGTTTCCCCTGCTATTTCAATATTGTAGAGAGGAGAAGATTAATTAAGCCATCAAAAAACGGTTTCAACCACTGTTGTTGGTAGCATTTCATATCCGTCAGTACCTATCAGTTTTTATATTAAATTAAAATGGTATAAGATTTAATTTCATTTTGATTAAATTTCATCTGTTTTGATCAAATTTTGATGTATTAATTGGTATTTCGATGTCCCAATCGGTACACCAAAAATGGGTTGGTACAAATCAATTTAAATTTAAAAAGAATAATTTTCATTTTTTATCATCAATTTTAATGTTTTGCATAATTTTCATTTTTTAACTTTTTTATATATTTTTTTAATTCATCAACTATGAAAAATGTATTTTTTTAATCCTTCTATCAGTTACTCCGTTAAGTCTATCTAAATATACACATTTTTAATCCCTTAATTTAAAGTGGAGGGATGAAAAATATGCATATATTAGAAATTGAGGAACTAAATGGGTATTCTTAGTCCCTTTTGACAATTTTAAATTTAGACTTCTAGTTCTCAGTACTTATCAGTTGCTGCTCCCTCTTCTCAGTAATGTTTTGGTTTGTTTTTTGCATTCTTGTTATACTTAGAAAACATTATTTCTTCTCTTGTAAAAGTATTTTGTATTGTAAATTATAATATTAAATTCAGACTACTGTTATACTTTCTAATATTATCTTAATATTCAAAAAAAATTATAGATGTTTTATAAAGTTGGTCATTTTAAATTTGTTTTCAATTTATAAGAATATGATAGTTTTTAACATTAGTTCATCTTATTATTATTTTAAATTTTGATATATAATTTATAAAAATATATATTTATAACGATAAATTCAAAACAGTATATAAAAAATTTCAATACCCGATATAAATCGTTCCAATAGTAAAACCAATATATATATGCCGATACGATATTAATAACTTTGGTTTCAAGTATTGAAAGTGGACAATAAAAATATAGTCTAAATTAAATAATATTTTAATTATTTTAACATTTAAATTGTACTTTTATTACACAACAACAAAAAAAATAAAATAAAATTCTTAAGCCATATATATATATATATATTGAAATACAAATCTTTCATCATTTAA